TCTTGGCTACGGGTGGCCGCGATGGGAAGGTGAAAGTTTGGGATGTTCGGGCTGGGAATGGCAGTCCGGTTGTGGAGATGGAAACGGGTGAGTTTTTTCCAGTTAAGCTTTTTTTTATTGTTTTCTGTTTTGGATTTTATGCATCGATTTCCTCTTTGGGTTGTCTTCGGGAACCTGCTGGCACATGTGCGTTTTGTGTTTTGGTGCTGCATTTCCGCTGGTCTTTTACTGGGTTTCGGGGAATTTTTCGGCGCTTGGATGCAAGGGTGGCGATGGCTTGGTTGGGGTTGTTGCTGCTTTCTGATTAAATACTTATCTGCTAATGCGTTGTCTTATATGTTAGCGAAAAAGTCGCCGGTTCTGTCTGTCGCTTGTAACCCGGAGACGAACACTATTGTTGCGGGGACGGAACTTGTCTCTTCGCAGGCGGTTGTTGCATTCTGGTATGTTTCATCTATACCTCAGTTTTATCTCCTAAGCCCAGTTTGAACATCGATAATTACATCGGGATATGTCAGACAAAAACAGCTGTGCCAGACCCACTAACTCACACAGGGATATCCGCTCCCCCCAAGAATTCCGCCTCCAATACGTGGAGAGCCACAACGACGATATCACCGAGGTAAGTGCACCTCCATTAAGAATCAATTATTTAAGCCCAACCCAACATACCCAACACCCACTCCAAACCCCACATGCAGCACCAGCCAGACTAACCATTACATCGGCACCTTGCCTGTTACCGGTGGTACACAGCTCCAATATCACCCGACGCGCAGCAGCATCTTACTCTCCGGCAGCACGGACGGCCTAGTCAACATCTACGATACGACCATAACCGACGAAGACGAAGCCCTAGTGCAAGTGATCAACCACGGCTCCGTACATCATGCCGGCTTCCTGTCCGAGCGCACCATCTTCGCTCTCAGCCACGACGAGCACTTCTCCGTGTACCCAGCCACGGACCCAGACGATGCCTCGCAGGAGCCCGAGCCCGTGCATTTCGGTGACGTGCGCGACCCGCTAGGCTGCGAGTATGTTGCGCAGCTGTGTTTCGGTGCGCAGGGACCGTATATTGCCGCTGGGAACAAGATGTATGTTTATTTCTTGTTTTGTTTTGGGGTTTGGGGTTTTTTGTATTCGTGCTCGGAAGAAGAAGTCGGACAGGCACACGTGCTGTTGTGTTTGGGTCTTCGTGGACTGGGCTCGTGGGTGTTTGTATTTGCTAACTATGTCTTGCAGTGACAACCGTCTCGATCTTGTCCCACTTATTTCCAGCCCGTCGTGGAAGCTAGACCGGGATAATCTGTGGCGCTTGCCCCGTGCTCATTGCGAGGAGGTTGTACGCTCGGTGTATTTGGATGAACAGGTACGTTTTCAGATAATGCTTCTCATCATTTGTTATATTTGTTGGCCTGTTATTGGCTTTCGTTCTTTGTAACCCTCGCTAATCCAACTATGTCCCCCAGAGTCAGTCCGTTTTCACCTGTGGTGAAGATGGCTTCGTGCGAGCATGGAGACCTGCAGAAGAGAGCGATGCTCCAGTCCAGTCTGGTTCTGCAAAGGCTCGCCCGAAGGAGAAGAAGAAGGATAGGTTCAAGCCGTACTAGTCTGTGTACTGTGTGCGGGTGAATGCATCTGCTGCTGACGGTTGTCTGTTGTGTATCGTTGGGTGTTTGGGGTGGGTAAAAATAGATCTACAATTGAATGATATGAGTTATGTCTTTATTATGGGATTGCTGTGTAGAAAAGTTGGTTGCTGGGTTGTAGTATCTACATGTGGAGGGTTGAAATATATTCCTGGACTATAACCTCTGTTAGGGTATAGGGTTGAATTGAACTACGTTCATTCCGAGCACCAATGAGTATGATTTATATGGTTTAAGCTCTGGTTCTTTTCCTAAATCACAAATCACAAAAAAGAAACCAACTTTGAATTGAAGAAAATGCAAAAAAGGCGCCATTAAGCTCTATCGAATTGTGCACGGGAATCATAACTCTTAGTAAGCATGAATAAACAGTCAATTTATCCATGCATAACCTGACCCTTGAGGTGTCGAATCTTATCTCCAACATTTTTTTCCGTATCAAAACTTTTCTTGCGTAAGGGACCAACACCCTCAAAGTCCCTCTCCTCCAATTCCACAACATACATACATACCCAAGTATCAACCTCACTCAAAATCAAAAACCAAACACCAAAGCCAAACCCAAACTCCAAACCCATTATCCACCAAACCCTCCATCCAGAGCAAACACAAAAACCACCACAAAATGGACGCCCAAGCCTACCTAATCAAGCACGGCTGGTCCGGTCCCGGCAACCCGTTAAACCCAAACAAACGACCCGGCGCACACAGCGGCCTAGGCCTAACCCGACCACTGCTCGTCTCGCGCAAAACCAACAACCACGGCGTGGGCAAGAAGACAACCAAAGACCCGACGAACCAGTGGTGGCTGCGCGGGTTCGAAGACGCGCTGAAGGGCGTCGGGAACGACAGTTTTGAGGCGACCTCTGCGCGCGAGAACAATGCGCTGACGAGCGAGCTTTATCGGCATTTTGTGAGGGGGGATGGGCTGGCTGGGACGCTTGAGGGGAAGAAAGACGAGAGCGCGTCTACGTCTACGTCTACCTCTACGTCTGCCGCTTCCTCTAAGTCAAAGCGCAAGCGGGAAAATGAAGACGAGGGCGAGCGCAAGGCTAGGAAACTGGCCAAGGCTGCGCGGAAGGTGGAGAAGGCGCAGAGGAAGGAGGCGAGGCGTGTGAAGAGGGCTGCGAAGGCGGAGCGGAAGGAGAAGAAGATTGCTGGGAAGCTCGCGAAGAAGGCTTTGAAGGAGAAGAAGCGGACTGCTTCTGAGGAGGATTACCCAACGCCTAGGTCTATTGACCAGGAATCTGATCTGACTGGGGCGGAGACTACGGGGACGGATGAAGCTGTTGCGCGGTTAGAGGAGAAGGCGACGAAAAAGGAAAAGAAGGAGGGCAAGAAGAATAAGAGCATAGGAGATAATGGGGGCGCTGAAGACTCGAAAAAGAAGTCTAAAAAGGAGAAGAAGGATAAGAAGGAAGCTAAGGCTTGATGTGTCCATTTCGCTGTACGCATTTTGATATTGAGCGCTTCACATGCATGTCAGGACCAGGTACAAAATTCTGCATATACCTGTTTTCCTCTTACGCCTAGAAATCAAGATACCCTTTTTGTTTGGCGAAATCTTGACTATTGCAACCATAGAAAATGTAGAAGTCTTTTGATTTGTGTTGGAGCTGAGCTACGCTGGTAATTTTCCAGGAGTACCTGATAGAATCCACGGTCGTTTCTCCCAGAACTCATCTTTGATGATGTCGACATGGTCAACCACGACCTGTGCTTTCCGGCGCAGTTTGCGGATCTTGTCTTGCTGTGACCTTGACTGCTTAGATTCGACCACCAGTGATTCTTCGCCCGCAGGTGATTTTGTAGGCTTTGGTTCCTCTAGCTCGTACTGTAGAGAAATATTAGAACGGCCGAGACAGAAAGAAACACTTATAAACTAGGACATACCTGGCGATAAAGAACAGTGCCCTTTTTATAGATCTCTAGCTCGTTATTGTAGTTAATTCCAAACCGCTTGAAGAGAATCTCGTTCTTGTCGGCGGATACAGTACCCTGGTATCAAGTCAATTGCCTGTACTTTGAACTGAAAGGAACAATAGCATACCTTTAGCTCTTGCTCGGCGTCTGTATTGCTCATTCCGCCTTGCAACACCATTGTCCAGAAGGTAGTGTTGTAGAGGTTATTGATGTGACCTAGTGATATTGGGTTAGCCGGATGTAGCCCGAAACCAGGGCATTCCGAGGCCACTTACAATCAACCTGTCTCCAGCTCATATAATCGCGGAGAATTTGGTTATTCGGGTAGATGACCGCACGCCCATCGAAAGAGGGTAGATACGGTGGCAGGAGAGGTCTTTCGGGGAAGAACTCGCTCCATTTGTAAATGTAGTGTGCTGTGAATGTAGAGACGATGGTGGTAACTAGTTTCCTGGATGGAAGAGGTTCTATCAATGGCCGTTCTTATACCACTGCACGATAGAAGCAAAGAGAAAATACTCACCCATTACGCCGCTCAAAAAGTTGGCAGTTGGGATGAAAGACAAAACTGAAGGAAGACTGTTAGTATTTGCGAAGATAGCGATGAAAAGACCTGGACATACCTGAATTCGTCACTGACTCCATAGGCGATACATAGGTCTGGAAGCTCTTTCATGACCTCAACTGCCGCAGCATTCATCAGATCCAGTGCCCGGCGGTCATTGGGTTTCGCGAAAGCGTAGTGATCAGAGAGTCTATATAGGTTAGACTCCGAAGAGAAATGAGAGCATGAACTAGAACAGCAGTCATAGCGTCATATCTTGGTGAAAGATACGCATGAAGACGGATATATAGTTGCCATTTTCTTCTTCTATGAGGATTCCTCATGCATAGGGCATTCCCAAGTGACAAGAGATGGAGACTCACTTGTGAAATCCTCGTCCATCAATGCGGACCACAATCCACGTACTGGGGAGCAGCACGTCCGGCTGCTCAAAGGACTTGACGTACTCAAATCTGTGTTCTTTTAGTAGCCGGACTGAAATTTTCTAGAATTTTCAATGCTTACCTAGAATTTGCCATTTTGATCTACTGGACTTTGATGTTAAGTGATGAATGTCCAGAGATTGAAAGTGTCATTTTGTGCGATTTCTGCCCGCCCGCATTTGCCCCAACGCGAGGGTTTTAGATTCTGAGGACTTGAAGTGATTTGATTAGGATAATGCAATAATTTCTTGTAAGACCAGATATACTACAATTTCTAGATACATCCAGGTGACTATGTAAAATCAAAAATCCGTAAATAAAACTAATATGTTGTTGAGATGCATATCAAAAACCTTCAGGGAGGATGCTTAAGAATCTAGGAAATGAAAGTGAAAGGACAAACCAAGATGGTCTATAGATAATGTGAGATACATGTGAGAATCATGAATTCTCAATCTCAGGAATCTCTTCATCGCCAGCTTCACTGGCTCGCTCGCTAGTCTCGCTGGCCTTGTCAGACTTGCGAGACTTACGAGAAAAGAATCCCAAGCTGCTGCGGGTTGAGCGATCGGCGGAGGTCACACTTGAGACAGTGCTATCGACACTCTTGCCGAGCTGCGCTTCGCTGGTGGCATCCTCGTCAATATCACCTTGCGAGGATTCACCTTTCTTAGAGAAAAGTCCCGAGCGATCCTTCCAGGAGCTGAACTTGCTGGAACTACCCTTGCGCGTGATCTTGCGAATGAACGACTCCTTGGAGGCATTGTCCAAGGAAGTAGCAGATGGCATGCGCTCCAACGATTCATAGGAATCGCCAGTGAAAAGGGATACGGAGCGAGATGTGCGAGACTCCGAAGGAGATCCATCGAAATCGTGAAGACCAAAGGGACTTTCGGGATCATTGCCCTTGTCTGTGTCTATTTCCGACTTCTCGCCCGTGAGAACGGCCGTGAATGCCGGAGCAGCAGGATTCAGCTTTGGGGTCAGCGGTCGATGAGAAGACGACGGACGAGTGCCAATCGGTGCCTGGAGCGGTCGATGATGACGGTCAAATGTGTCCCCCACGAAATCAGGCTCGCCGGTTAGACCGAGAGGAAGGTGTCCGGACGATCCATACTGGATTGAAGGTCGGCGAGAAGGAGCTCGAGACCAATTGGATGGCGCGGCCCAGTCAAACCCGAGCGGGCTGTTGCGGTGCCCAGCATTATCAGTCGATGGCCACCCGAAATGGCGGTTGTCCGTCGAGGGGTGTGGAAGTTGATTTGGTGTATCGAATGAGGTCGACGAAGGTCGCGGGGACAGAGAACCGCGCCGAACGCCACCAAGAAGCGATGATGGATCAATAGGATCATGTCGCGGACTGAATTGATTGTATCCACTGCTAAGATCGGGATCCCCACGGGTGCCAGCACCGCCGAAGCCAAACTTGCTGGATGAGAATATATTTGAGAAAGCAGCTCGCCGAGAGGGCGCATGGTCAGAAGAGCTGTCCATAGTGACACCAGTCGTGTTGCTTCGAGGGAACAATGACATTGGGTTTGCCCAGTTACCGGTATAGCTCGATCGCCGCCGGCGTGCACCGATTGGATCCAGCTCGTCAATATTCCGAGGGAAGGATTGACTCTGACCGGGTTTCAAAGATCCCAGCATAGGAGACTCATCTGCCAGGGTTTTCCCACGAGGCCGGTGAAACCCGAAAAGACCAGAAAGCTTTCGCGATGCGCTTTTCGGGGCTTCCCCAGCAGTAGACAAATGAGCACCTTGGGATTCATCCCGCCGATTTTGAGTCTCTAGTGGGCTGGCAAAGATACTGCCGGCTCGACTGTCCGAAGAGACAGGCGATGCTGGGCCGTGACCGAAGCTATCTAAAGTAGTACTGGTCGCCTCCATGGTTGCAAATCTGGGACGAATTATAGACCGTGGGAATTCTGGCGATTCCTCGTCACCAAGGAGATCGGATGGCAACAGGGCATCCGCACGGGGACTCATTTGCGGGTTATTGAAAGCAAGTTCCGTATCCGAGCGCATGATCTCAGGGGGATCAGAGAGGCCTGTAAGGGCCATACCGTTATTGATATTGAAAAACGCAGAGCTCGGAGGGAATGTAGGCGAGTGACCGGACGGGTTGTAGTTGACGCTATTTGAAAACGAGGTTTCGACTGCCGGGAAGTTCAGAGGGGAAGACATATTGCTGTTGAGTGAGCTGCGATGGCGACGGGGCCGAATGGTGGCAATATTCGACATGTCGAGATCCAAGGTCGGGAAGGCAAAGGGCCCTGAGCTGCCGGGTCGTTGGGCAGTGAGCCACTTTAGACGTTCTTGGGCTTCTTGATATTGTTGCTGGGCTTGCGCGTGCAGATTCACAAGTGTGGCATAACGTGCGTGTAGGTTGCCCAGCTTGTGCTCCCACTGACGAGCTCGCTCGTTGTCGATCCGATCCAGCTCCTTGCCATCTTCACTATCGCCTTCTTGTAATCCCATTCTTTCTTCTTCGAGCTTCTTGACCCGTCCTCCTTTATCCTGGATCTCATCGTCAATGGTCTTCATCTCCGCCTGTTCTTTTGCGATCTTGGCTCGGACCTCATCTGCGCGCACCGCCCCTTCTTCTTCAATTCTGGCCTTGTCATCCTTTGCCTGTATAGCATCGGAGTTCATGCGTGAAATCTTCTCCTGCCATCGCAAGATGTCATTCTTGCGCTTCTTGCGCTCCGCCTCTTTCTGCTGAAGGAGTCTCATGCGTTTTGACTTTTCGCCCTGTACAGTTCGGTTGACGCTCTCGAGCTTGTAGACATGCTTTTTCAAATCGCCACTTGCTTCATCCTTCTCCCTGACGCGCTTCCGCAGTTCACTGCGCTGTTTTTCAAGATCCTTCAGCAGTGCAATATGCTCTTCTTCCTCCTCTGCCCCCTGCTTTTCCACATTCTCGTTCTCGTGCTGCAATGACTTCAAGCGGTCTGCCAATTGCTCCAAAGTCTCATCCTTGGCAGTTCTGGCTCTGCTTTTGAGTGTCTCTTCGAAATTCCCGTGTGAAACGTCCCCAGTCGCAGGTGAAATTTTCCGTCCGGCCGAGGGCCGTTTCCCCGGTAATTGGCCTGCGCTATGCTCACGAGACATTATCGGGGCGGATGGCGTCGGCAGACCTACTGTAGACCTGGGGATCGATGCGCGGATAATTGGACCCCCGGCGCTGCCATTCTGCTGGGCTTCGGACAGCGGAAGAGATTTTGTTCGGACATGGAGGATCGCACTGGGCGTGTGGAAGTTTGCGGCACTAACGGAAAGAACACAAATATGATAGATGTTACCCGGCAATAGATTTGATATTTCCACAGCTGTTTCTGCTCGTTTGGATTCACCGACTAGAGACTGTTAGTGCTTTGTTTAGTGATAGGAAGGGATTGTGTATCTTATACCTTTCGTGTTATTCACTTGAATTATATGCTTATGTATTGAGTTATGAAAGTCGGGCTGTTTCCAAGCAAGACGGATTTCACGGGCTGTGATCTCTTCGAGGGTGACCTCTGGCGGCGGAGGAATGTCGAGACCGAGTTTCTCAACTAAGACCTCATTTGAAGTCTGGCAGACTTGCCAGGCACGGTAGAGAAGCCTTCATAAATTGAGTCAGCTGAGCAAAGAGAATGCTGGAACAACCAAGGGACTTACCAGATCAAAGCCCACAAGATCGAGACGGCGAGAAAGAGGGCCATGACGCCTCGCACTCTCACGCGAGGGACCACTGCTGGGTAAGCGTCAAATGCAAAGTATAGGGGCTCATACATCCCAACGTCTGTAACCCATTGGACGTGGGCAGCGGGATACAGGAGAATTGCAAAGATCGCCAATGCTCTCCGGAGTGGGTGGGATAGACACGTGACCCGGAATCTTAGCCACCCAAAATAGGTTAGCGCCACAGCGGAGATCAGCCGCTACGGCATATACCGCTTAAACGGAGTACGGCCTCTATACTTGGACGGTATGCTTTACAGCAGTTACAATTTTATGATTTGACTGTACGATATCTTAATGTCTTTTGAATATCGTTTGTATATTTTGAGATGTCTTTTGGGATGTCTTTTTAGCTGTTTGTTTAATTCATCTAGAATGCCTTCTAGATGCCGTCTCAGTTCCAACCCGGAATGGCTGTGTGAGCTTCCATATGTAAGCATCGTCTCATAGCAATATCGTGGCATGCTATTAAGGCTTTTACCTAGATGATGGTTTTATGTTGTCATTTGCCACTTAAGAAAGAAACCCCAAGCCTATGTTGTACACTCTATAGATATGTGTCTATAGTTCGCGTGTATATATCAAACCTTGAATCTACTAAAGCAACTATGTTATATCAAGAGGTTCTTCCTTCTACAACTCCAACATACGAGTATAAGGGAATCCAGGATTCTCCAGATCCTAGACCGGGAGCTGGAGGATTTATCTAACCCTTATATTGTCTTTATCATCGATGAGCGTTCCTTCCTTGATTGTTTTGAGAATTTCGAAGAAGGACTACTTAGAACATCATGGGATACCTACGACCCTTCTAGCAACCGTCTTGTTGTTAGGAAGCAGACCATAACACATTCATCTGCAAGCGGTTCTTTTGCCAGCATATTTAGTTCTTGGCCTAAAGACGACAATTACCGACTTATATCAAAGCATCAGTGAGAGGCCAGTCGGAGATGAATAAACAGGAGGATTACTCATGGACCCTATACAATTAGGCCGCTTGAAGGAATCTCCGACTATGGTAGTCGAAATCGCGTGGGCAGAAACACGGACAAAGCTTGTGGAAGATATGAACTTTTGGCTATCCTAGTGTTATGGAGAAGTTAGGATCGCACTCTCAATCACAGTGCATGCTCGTGGAAAGATCACGATTGAGAAATGGGAGCTTCAAGGCGCGACTCCTATTCCCACCCAGAAAATGGAGATCGTATGAAAACCCGCACCAAAATGCGAGAGGATCCAAGGCCACCTCCACCTCGCTCTTGAAGATATTAATCTTCAACCGAAAGGGGAAAAAGACACAGATTTCATTCTGACACCCCGAGATATGGAAACACTTGCAACCAGAGTTTGGGCTTTTCAGTTTGATACTTGAGCTTCCGCGGGACAACTGGTTCCGCGTTCCGAGGTTGTCCGCCTGCTCCAAGTGTCACATGGTTCAGTTCAACTTCCCCGATTCTCCAACAACTTGGTCTCAGTCTTCTTCTTTTTGTCCCTCTGCTTTTCTAGAATTTGTTTCGGACTGGAAATCTTCACCCCCAGCTGTCAAAGGTGCTAGACACCCATTTGGCGGGATGCAGCTCTATCGCTCTATAAGCGGTTCTGTCTCCAAGACATGGAATTCTATCAATCCGGCCACTCTTAGCGGGGCTATTGATGTCATTGTCATAGAGCAAGAAGATGGTATTTACAGTTCCCCGAGAGACGAAATTCACGATAACTGACTTGGCTTTTCCTCAAGGCACCCTCGCTTGTTCGCCCTTTCATGTCCGGTTTGGCAAGTTTTCGCTATTACGTCCATTCGAGAAGAAGGTGGAGTTCAACGTGAACGGGATAAAACAAGAATATGCCATGAAATTAGGAGAGGGCGGCGAGGCATTCTTTATCTTTGAAACGACCGATGACATCCCCGCATCCTTGCAGACCTCGCCGTTGGTATCTCCAGCAGCCAGTCCAAGAGCCCAGAGCGAACCGGATCTTCTACCTTCGCTGCAGGAACCAGATTACCTTGACCTAGATAAAGAAAGCGGGGATGCATTGTCGGAAGGCGCAAAGACCCCGCCGGCGATGGGGATGCCGTTACGGGCAAATACGGACATGGGTAAGACACATCTCCAACACTTAGTTTCGATCCAAGTCCCTCGACTGACCGTTTCAACAGGGACAATAACACCCTTATCGCCATCTCTCGATGAATCCAACGTGGCCCGTTCACGGCACGGTTCGTTGAGCGATAAACCGCTGCTTGATCATACACTCTCGGAAAACGTGCTCTCGACCAGCTCTCCTCAACAATCTCTCTCCGGCCAATCTGCAAATGGGAATGATGAACCTCGTGATATTGATATCGAGGGCGAAACACAGCGCCCTCGTAGTCCTCCTCTGTCTGCCCAGGAAGCGGTCTCTCGTGCAATTTCGCTTTCAAAGAAGCTGTCTGGGTCTAATATTCCATCACATGTCACCGAGACCGGAGATCTAATGTTGGATATGACTGGCTACAAAAGCAACGAAGAAGATGCCCTTCGCGCGGAGGTTGTTGCACGCAAGATCCTTGCAGAAGAGCTTGAAGGAAGCTATGATATCGGTGCACTGATTGGAGCCGATGAACATGGTAATCTATGGATATACAGCAGCGAAGAGTCCAAGGAAATGGCCGATCGGAGAGCCACTCTTCACTCCATGCGACCAAACATAGCGATGAGCGATGATGCTCTCTCCGACCCAGGATATCATAGCGAAGGCGAAAACGCTGTTTTGGAACCAGCATTGACTACGCGCCATCATCGAACCAAATCAGATGTTCAACCCGGCTTTCCCACACCCCCAGATTCACCTTTGCATGAGTCTTACCCCATTGAAACCCGCAACTATGCCAAAACACTTCGCTTGACAAGTGATCAACTTAAGGCCTTGGAACTGAAGCCCGGCGCCAACACAATGTCTTTCAGCGTCAACAGAGCAATTTGCACTGCAAACATGTATCTGTGGAATGGCAATACCCCGATCGTGATTTCTGATATTGATGGAACTATCACCAAATCAGATGCGTTGGGACATGTTCTCAATATGATCGGACGCGATTGGACGCATACGGGGGTTGCCAAGTTGTACACCGACATTGCCAACAATGGGTATAATATTATGTATCTTACAAGTCGGTCTGTAGGCCAGACTGATACTACACGAGCCTATCTTCACGGCATTTGCCAAGATGGATACAGACTACCAAGAGGTCCTGTGATCTGCAGCCCCGATCGCACGATGGCCGCTCTGCGGCGGGAGATCTACTTGAGAAAACCCGAAGTTTTCAAGATGGCATGTTTGCGGGATATTCTCAACCTCTTCTGCGGCAAAGAGAATCCCTTTTATGCTGGCTTCGGAAATCGATTAACAGACGCATTGAGTTATCGTTCTGTGAACATTCCGTCTACTCGGATTTTCACAATCAACTCTAATGCTGAAGTGTCTCTGGATTTGCTTAGTCTGAATAAGTACAAGAGCAGTTATGTGACCATGCAAGAGCTGCTCGACCATTTCTTTCCACCAACCAGCCTTCTTGTACACGACGGTGGCGAGGAATATACGGACTTCACATACTGGAGAAACACACCGCATGAGATTGCAGACTTCTCGTCAACAGATAGCGAGGATGAAGACGAGGAAGATGTCGAAGAAGAACTAGCCGAAGAAGAAGAGGAAGAAGAGGAAGAAGAGGAAGAAGAGGAAGAAGAGGAAGAAGAGGAAGAAGAAGAGTACGATGAAGAATTGAGCGAGGGTGAAGGCAGCGAGTACCTTGATGAGGCTGAGTTGGCCGAGGGCGATCTCGGCGCAAGCTACATCTCGCAGGACTCCGTTGCCTTGTCCAACCAAGCAGCCTCAATAATTGAGGCAGTGGAAGGCGATATAGGTGCCGAAGAGGGGGCTATCGGTGAAGAGGAATTGTCTCCCGTCATCGAGAAAGCACAAGAAACAACCGAACCGAGCACAACCGAACTTCCCATCCGGTCCAAGATGCCGCAAAATCTTTGAACATACACCCACCACTATGTTTTTGCTAAGGCATCGATCCCTGGGCATTTCTTGCGTCATAGATACCCGTCTGCGAGTGCTTTACTGAGTCAGATTCTGCATTAGACTTCCCTGACAGCGATATATCCACGTTCAACACAATTTCATGCAGACAAGGAGTTGGGGACTACATTATACACGGCCGCTCGTGCCCGACTCTTTTTAATTCATGGCGTTTTCGCATTTGTTTTTGGTACATTCATGGCGCACATACATAGGATCATGAGAATGGGGATGTAATGAATGGAACAAATGAATAGTCTTGCTCAAACACAATGAAGAGCCTGATACATTAGCTGAGGATGATCTACAATCTAATATAGTAAAAGCATTATGTAGATATGACCGTTTGTTAAAGTGATCTAGTTAATTAACTTGTGCAGGCAGGCGACTCGATTACCTAAGCGTGATACTGGCTGAGCCCTGGAGCTCATGCTTCTTTTCGGCCTCATTTAGCCATCACTTTCTCTCTCTCCATCACACATTAAACGCTACTTGCATCTTTGGCTGTTTCCTAGCCTCTGAGGATTGTGCTAGGAATGCTGCCCGACTACATTTCTCAGGCCGTCTAATCATCACATAATTCAACATCTTGACCACTTTCGCAACAGTGCAATTCGCTCTTTCTTTCCTACTTGATCTTTGATCAGCAATCCAAGATAAAATGGCATCCCCAAGCCAACCACAGGGCCAAGCACCCACCACACAACCTCTCACACCACCCGCCGAATCCTCCGCCACGAACGGGACCTCCGCGCCCGCCGCAACAAGCTCCCACACCCAACCCCATGTCCCAGCAACGGGCGCTTCAACAACAGCACCACAACCGCCTGCAGTCCCCGGGATATCAACCCAGGACAGCGGAAAAACGCGACGACCAAGGGACGTGCGGCTGGTCCACATGCTCCTCGCCTCACTCGGGGTAACCTCATACCAAGACCGGGTGCCCCTCCAATTGCTCGACTTCGCCTACCGCTACACTGCTAATGTGCTACAAGACTCCGTGCACCTCGCAACGGAAGGATACGCCGCGGCAACAGACGGTACCGCGGGCGCAAAGGGCTCCGGCGAAGTAAATAGTGTTTCTCTGCCCGCGTTGCGGCTGGCCATTGCCTCCCGCTTGCACTTCCAGTTCCAGACAGGGTTGCCGAAGGAGTTCCTCATGGAGGTTGCGTCGGAGAGGAATCGTATCGCTTTGCCTGGTGTATCGCGGGGATTCGATCCTGCTGCTGGTGTTAATGGCGCTGTTCCTGCGGCGAATCAGAGTGTTCTTATTGGTGGCATGCGCTTGCCTCCTGAGCGCTTCTGTCTTACTGGAATGGGGTGGGATTTGAAGGAGGAGTGGGATAGTGAGGGCGAGGAAGATGAAGTGCTTGATGTGATGCACCAGCCTGGGACTGGGAAGGGCTTTGGTGGTGATGGAGCTGAAGATAATGAAGACGAGGATGATAATGATGGCAAGATGGAGGATCTCTTCGGCGAAGATACCACCATGGGCGAGGCAGGGGATGGAGATGAGGACCGGAAGATGACTGATGTTTAAGGGAGTGCATTTATGTCAGGGGCCTCTTCTGTCTTTGGTCTCGGGCTGGTGGTGTTTCTGGCGCTTGGTGTTGTTCTCATTTTTCTCTCTAATCTGCCATCGGACCGGGTCCTGGCTGTACTATCACGGAGAGCATCTATTTCATGACTTGTGTCTACAAATTGGGGTCAAAAGTCCCCTCGCCTGACCATAGAGGCAAATAAACCAATAAAGAAGACAACCTTCGGTCAATTAAACCAAGATATGCAATCGTCTGTGTATATTGTACATAATTTCTATCCCATCGCTCCGCATTCGGGATGATCATGCAATGTAATCAAGATGCCCAGCAAAACGCCTGCTTTGTTTGCCTGTGTGCGCCGTGAGGAGAGAGAGAGAAAAAGATATAAAGTCCGAGTCTGGGTTAGCCAGGAAAGTCCAGGGTCGACTTGCCCGGCGGGATCGGTCTGATATCTGTCCATCAAACGATGACGGGAAGCAGGCCGGGATAGGGTGCCGGACTGTAACATGCAAGACCCTGTAACATGCAAGACCCAGCCAACCAGGCAGCCAGGCCAGATAGAGCCCAATAGCTCTTTCCCCCAAACACCCAGCCCGAAGAGGAAAGTCCTCGCCCTCCGACCTCGGAGAAACGCAAGAAGCAGAATACTCAAGACGCCGAAACCCATATAGACAAGAAATACTCACACAAGAAATGAAGAGAACGGGAGCGGGAGGGATACATGGAGTAAATAGGAAGATCTCCAATCATTTTTCCGCCGCTCGTGTCCGCGCCTCATCCTCGCGCATCATGCGAATAACTTCCGCACGACGCTTCTCAACCCGTGCAAGATCATCCTCACGCGCGCGTCGCCGTTCCTCATACCCCGCGAACCACTCCTCACGTGCGCGATCCTCTTCTTCCGGCTTCGCGTGGGCGACCATGCATGAATTCATTGCGAGACGTTGCTGGCGGCAGACCCATGTTGCAGTGACAGTGCGGTTGACGGCGCACTCGGCAAATGCTATATCATAGTTGGGTTAGTTGGTTGTTTCAGACATGTTCGAGGTGTGGGGAGTGGATCATGGTCATGCGAGCCGGAGTTGCTTCTCCGCTTGAAACTCATGACCGGCTTCTGCAAGCTCAAGCTATGCACTATTTGGAAAGAGGTGATGTATTTGGCGTAGGAAGCAACGTGAATTGTATACCTTTAATTTCGGGTGCGCAATGGGCGCGTACTCGCTTGTAGTACAGCAGTTTCACTTCTTGTTCTTGGGGGGCTGAGAGCGGAAGCGGATTGCGAAGATTATATTTTTTGGGTGCACTTGTTGAAGAGGTATCGGGGGATGTGGAAGACGTAGCCATTGGGACTGTAGATCGATCTCAAGATCGAAATTGACGGGGCTGAGTGTATGGACTGGTCGACCGGAGAGTTTGCTTTGAGGGGGATTGGTCCCGGTTGTTGAGGGACAAGATATGAGTTCGGCTGCTCCGGAGCCTAATAAAACGAATCGAAGAGGTAGAAGTAGTTTCAAGAGGGGTTCATCGAATGGCTTTACAGAGAAGATCGAGGCTAGGTGGGAGTGTTGATTGCGAGTGAGCCGAGCTCGGGCGGAGAGAATGTTAGTTACTATTGGCAGAATCAGAAAAAAAAGTTCTCCGACTTTGCATCTCGATACAACTCTTCTGTTAGAGACATCTGCGTCTTTTCGCTCTTTGCGTTTTTGTTTCTTCTACACTTTCTTGTGCTCTATTTATTGTCTCGGGAATTATCAACATCAAAACTCAGCATGTCGTCCATGCGCAACGCCGTCCAACGGCGGAACCACAAAGAGCGTGGCCAGCTCCAGGGCCGCGAGAAATGGGGTCTTCTCGAGAAGCACAAGGTTAGTTCCTGAGAAGGAGGTCTTGGAATATTTTACCAATGATTCAAGCTTTCTCTCATGCGTAGTTTTAAGACAAACATTCTAACTTCAATAGGATTACTCGCTCCGTGCCAAAGATTACAATGCCAAGAAGGCTAAGCTGAAGCGCCTCGAAGAGAAGGTGCGGGATCGCAACCCCGATGAGTTCGCCTTCGGTATGATGGGAGAGAAGAACCGGACCCAGGGTCGGCACGGACGTGGCAAAGGCACAGCACGAGACTCTGCCGCAGCGCAGGGACTGAGCCACGAGGCAATCAAGCTGCTCAAGACGCAAGATAAGGGTTATCTTCGGACGGTTGGCGAGCGGGTACGCCGCGAGATTGAGCGCCTGGAGCGCGACGTGAAATTGCAAGATGGCATGAACAAGGTCCTTGGCAAAAAGGATGGGAAAAAGGACGAGAGCGACGATGACGGGTTTGACGACGACTCCGATTTCGATTTCGGGGCGCCGGTGCAATCGAAACCAACCAGGGTGGTGTTTGCCGATGATAGACAAGACCAACTGGCAATGAAGAAGCAGAAGATACAAAAAGAAGAACCTGCGCTAGATTCAGAGGAAGAAGAGCAGACGTCAAGCAAGACCCGCAAGACACCTAAGCAGCTTGAGGCTGAGCGGCAAGCACTTGTGGATGCTCGGCGGGCTCGCAAGCTCCGGAAACGAGCCATCGAGGCCCGACACAACAAGCTGACTGCGTTGCACAAGCAGTACGCCGAGATTCGGACCGCAGAGCAAGAGCTTGATTGGCAGCGGGCTAAGATGGAAAATTCCGTGGGAGGCACCAACAGGGACGGAATCAAGTGGAAGATCCGTGAGCGCAAGCGCTAAGTGTTTTTAGTGTTTTCGTTTCGACGGAGTTTATGAGTGATGACTGCTTATCATCTTTTTTGTACATATTGATACCAACCACCATAGAGGCAGTCCGGCGCATACAGTAGCATCCAAGGAACCCACTTCAGTCTTGGCCATCGACTCCTGGAAAAGCTCGATAACATCAAGCCTGTCTCAGGCATTAGCTGGAAAACTCGTGACAAGACATCGCCGCTTATACGGGTAGATTTGACCATCATATCCTGGCTATATCTACATCTAGGTGTGGTTAGTTGTTGAAGTAATATCAACAGGTTCTCTTTTTGTCCTTCTGTCCTTCTGTGTTAAATTCTGAATGAATGTCTATACACATTCCACAAAGGGTCCAATTCTGTACTCCCTACAAACCATCAAGGAACATCATGACCGATATAGCTATCTCTTGAGCGAGTCTCATACAGCAGGCTTACAACGTGTTCCGCTGAAGCGGGCAATATGTGTGGTCTCATTACCGCCTAGTTCAATTCCATCCAATTTCAACATCATTTGCGCATGTACTGTATTGCTCGGCTTCTTACATTCAAGCTCCCGCTTCTTGATATCAGCTGTCTCTGAAAAGGGCCGTTTGTGAATCGAGGTTTGGTCCAGTGATCGGGATGCGCCTTGAGAAGCGTTTCTTTTTCTCTTAGGTCTATCTTCAAGGACAGCCTCCTCTGAGGAATTAGGTCGACCGAGTGATTCATATTGGTGACTCTTGACTCAAATTCAATTCACGATTCCATCTTAACATTGGAGTATCGAGTGCGTCTGAACTGCCGAGTCCGGATTGAGATGAATTGAAGCGATCAACATCAGGTTTATCTGAGATGCTTTGTCTCAACGTGAGTGTTCTCCGGGTGGAGCTCTAGTTGTGGCGAACTATAGAAGGATGAGACATATGCAGCTATGTACATGTGGAGTAAACCCGAAAAGACCATGTGTATACTGCAACTGCAAACAAAGGGATAGAGGGAATGAACGCTAAATCAAGTCCAACATCCCTTGCCATATGTGTAGGCGGGTGCGATTGCCTACTTAGGAAGAAGAGTCGGTATAGGCTGGTCATGTGATGGAGCCTTCACAGTGTGCCATTTCTAAGATTAACGCCACGATTGCTAAGCGTTGTCTCTGACTGGCATCGGAATGATATAAAGTGTACTCCGAGACTCCGTTGTCGCAAGAGTTCTAAAACCTTCAAGTAATCACGCCTTCGCTGATAGGACAATCTCTTTAACTAATCGACAAGCCCTGGAGGGCATCCACAAGGCTTAATAATCATTTGCCACCCCTCCAAAGAAGGTTATCTTCTCCAGATCTTTTTCTTTTCTGCACTTCATATCTCAAAATAAAATTCACAATGGCTCCTTCATTTATGACCATTGACACCAACGACATGGACGTGGATTTCTCCTCGCCCAAGCCAATCCACGCAAAGCGCACCCTCCTCCTGGCACCCCCCTCCATCGCCACTCACGAGGACAAACTCCGCGGCCTCTTCAACACCTTCGACCGCTCAACCACAGACCTCCAAATGCTCGACCGGCTCTCTACAGGCGTCGTCTCCCTTCCCGCAACAACATACGACCTCGTCCTCATCCTCACCGACACAGACGGCGCACGGCGCTCCGAGGCGCTGCAACTCCTCACTCGAAATGTATACGCCACCCTCGTCCCCGCCATGAAGGCCGGTGCCAAGTTGCAAACCCAAGACTCAGCCCTTAATGCCTCGGACGCCATGGAGGCCGTCCTGGCCGGCCTCGTGCAGTCCGATAATGGCTTCGAGAAACCAAAGTTTGAGCCCTCCGCCGCTGTCCCTTTAAAGTTCGGTCTCAGGAAGAAGAATAAGCCTACCCCGCCAACCGCAGTCCCTATTATTCCCACAGGATTCGGTGCGCCGATGGGGATTGACGCGCCCGCGACTAATCACGACCGCGACGATGACGACGAGCTCATTAATGAAGATACGCTCCTCTCCGAGGAAGATTTAACAAGACCCATAATGCCGCGTATGTCACTCCCTTCCAACCATTTCATTTCTACAAGACCTATATCATCTAACACCATCCTCTTCAGCCCCAGAGTGCCAACCCAAGACCGGTCGCCGACGACGCGCCTGCAAAGATTGCACATGTGGTCTAGCCGACAAGCTCGAGGCGGAGGATAAAGAGCGCCGTGCAAACGCAGATAAACAATTGAACGTGATGAAGCTGGATACGGGCGACCTGACCGAGCTGGACTTCACCGTTGAGGGCAAGACTGGTTCTTGTGGAAGCTGTGCTCTGGGCGATGCCTTCCGCTGTGACGGTTGTCCTTACATGGGTCTTCCTGCCTTTAAGCCGGGCCAGGAAGTCCAGATCCTGAATGATATTGCGCAGTTTTGAGATATACTCCCTATTTCACGACTGTGGGGTTCCCTTTTTTTTTTTTGAAGTGGGGGTCTTCGGTCTTTGCATTTCTTTGAGCATTCTTTTCGGGATTTGTTTTTTTTTTTTGGGTTGGTTTTATACAAAATTATGCTAGGGGCGTCTGGCTTTCATTAATTTGAATGATTTTTTTTACTAGTACTATGAGTACTATCTAATCATGACTCACCTGAAGATTTCGACCGAGTGGATCCCCAACGTCATGTCTTAGATCTGATAGTGGGATAGATCGGCCTAGTATACAGATGTGCCGTTAGTCTGCCGATAATTAATTTACTTTACTTTATTTACTTGATATATTCTAATGATTGGCTGTAATAATCAATTCTAAACCCAATGGCGACTAATTTGCATTTTAATGTATCTGTGTTCATGCCACGTCCAATCATGATAGAACCGAAAAGAGAACGTAACCCAAAAAATATGTCTTATCTGACCTATGACTGATTCTTCTTCATGTGGGCAACACGGATGCTGACGGCACGCTTGTGTGCCTCCAGGCCCTCGACAGCGGCGAGAGTCTCTACCGTCTTGGCGAGACCGAGCAGGCCGTCGGCAGTGAGGTTCGAGCTAGTGATGTGCTTCAGGAAGGAGCCGAGGTTGACACCAGAGTACTGCTTGGCGTAGCCGTAAGTAGCTGGAGAGGGATATGTTAGCAAGATTCAATTAGGATATAAGGGAAAAAGTCGTTGCTGAGAAATACTTACGGAGCGAGTGGTTGACTCCGGCGGAGTAATCGCCAACACTCTCGGGGGTCCAGTGGCCGATAAAGACACTGCCGGCGTTCTGGACATCCTTGACAATAGACTCGGCGTTCTCGACCTGCAGGATCAGGTGCTCGGGCGCGTAGTCGTTGCTGAGGGTCATAGCCTCCTCGATGTCACGCACGACGAAGGTGACGGAGTGCGCGAGCGAGCCGCGAACGATATCCATGCGGGGCAAGGCCTTGGCCTGGGCATCGACCTCGTCTTCGATGGCACGCAGCTCGGCCTCGTTTAGGCCGGCCGCGATGAGGATTACTTGTGAGTCGATGCCGTGTTCGGCTTGGCTGAGAAGGTCCGATGCAACAAAGGCCGGGACGGCGGTCTTGTCGGCGATCACGAGGACTTCACTGGGACCGGCGGGCATGTCGATGCTGACGCCTGCGGAGGTGTCGTTGGAAACGAACATCTTTGCGGCCGTCACGAACTGGTTACCCGGACCAAGAATCTTGTCGACCTTAGTGATGCTCTCGGTACCGTAGGCCATGGCGGCCACGGCCTGGGCACCACCGGCCAAGACGATGCTTTCAGCGCCAACCTTGTGGGCGACGTAGACAATCTCGGGAGAGATGCTGCCGTCGGATCGGGGAGGCGAGGCCAGGACAATCTTGCTGCAGCCTGCTACTTGGGCGGGAACACCCAGCATCATGGCAGTGGAGGGCAGCACAGCGGTACCGCCGGGGATGTACAAACCAACACGCTCGATGGGGCGCGAGAAGCGAGAGCAGACGACACCGGGCATGGTCTCCATCTGGAGGGTTTCGTTGCTTCCCATCTGCGCGGAGTGGAAGCGTTCGATGTTGCCAATGCTGATATCAATTGCCTCCTGAACATCAGGGGACAGCTTCATGAGTTCAGCGGGGAACGGCGCATGAATAACGGGGGAGGTAAGTGATGTAGCGTGCTCGAACTTGTGGGTGTATTTGAGCACTGCGGCGTCGCCGCCATCACGGACATCGTGGATGATTGGCTTCACCAGGTTGACAATGGCTTCGTTAGATTTCTGAGAAGGACGCTTGAGGTAATCGGTGACCACCTGAGGAGTAGTAGAAGCAGTGATGACACGCTTCATCTCAATTCGGGTTGTGCGATCCTCGACCGGGGCAGGGGCAGGGGCAGGGGCAGGGGCAGGGGCAGACTCGGGCTTGGCCAGGCCAGCCTTTTCAGCCCAAGGTCCCTTGGCGTCGCCCTTTCTCCGCTTCACCTTCAAGCTCTTGAGGTCAAGGTTGCGCTCGATATCCTCCAGGCTAACACCGGCAGCAGTGCACTTGGTTAGGGCGAAGTAGAACAGGTCAGCCGCCTCGAAAGCAATCTCATCCTTGGTCTCCGCACGGCACAATTCATCAGCTTCCTCCATGATCTTAGCATCGATGAGCTTAGGTTCATTGAATAAACGCGCGGTGTATGATCCAGCCGGAGCATCCGCCTTGCGGGCATCCAAAGTCTTTTGGAGACGAGACAGACCGGAAGATGCGCCGAAGCAGGTCTCTGTACCAAGGTGGCAGAATCCTAATGAGTCACCACGATTAGTATACGAACATCATCCATTAGTGTAGGTAGCTGGTTCTTACCACGTCCAATTTGCTTGACGACAAAGACCAAGCAGTCGGCATCACAATCGAAGCCAATGCGGATCAACTCTTGCACATCCCCGCTGGACTGGCCCTTATACCACAGACCACGCTTCCGGCTCTGGTAAACACCGGTGCCAGTACGCAAGGCCTCAACAATGCTCTCATCACTGCTCCAAACAAAGCCTAGACAAGCTCCCCGCTCATCAGTGACAGAAGTGGCA